TTTGCAATCTGAGTTGGGTTTCAGGGGTTTTTGTGCATGGGCATCCTCCAGAACCTGTAACATTAATAGCAATGAGGATGCCCAGAGAACAAAAAGTGATGTAAAGAAAGGACAGGGCTTGGGCAGTGGGGCACGTGGTTGCACCAAGAAAGTGAAATGCATAGCTGTACTGAGAGACACTGTTCCATGTTGTGTACAGTCTATGGGAGGTCAAGACTTAGTCTGAGTACCCAGCTGTGTGTGGGAACTTAGTAATGTTTTTCTGTGTCCAAAGTAATCACTGTCATACACATGTGGTTCCATGGTGTATTGTAAACATAGTTCAAGTACATTTCAGATTCCACTTGGAAGAACTCTTAGTCCTTTGCATTTGTGGCTCCACTGGTGGAGAAACTGGGGTGGACACTGGAACTCTGGAGCACACTGTGGGACAAGCTAGGAATTTGTACAAGTATTGACCCCAAGCCATGGGAGGCTAAAGATGCCACGGGAGTGTTGAAATATTGGAGAAAGTTTGTGCAAATCTCCTCAAAAATGCTCTAAAGAGTGGCTTTTTCATGCTGGATGCATGGCTGAATGTCTGTTATTTGCACACAAAGTTGCAGTTGGAAAGAATACAGAGCTTGAAAAACAGACAAAAAAGACAAGGACATACAACAGCTGAGGGCCAATATAATGTTGCAAAGGCAAGTGTTTGTAGCTGCTGCTGCTGCATGCAATCTGAGATCTCAGTAATCTAGGCCTGTAAGTAAGGTTAAGCTTTAAATTATAAATTAGTTTAAATGCTGTTAAGCGTGATTCTTCTGTTAAATGGTTACAGTTGAGGTATAACTTAAGTTATAAGTTAAGTCAATCATAAGTTAAGTGTTGTTCCTTTGCTAAATTTTTAAGTTTAAAGTATAAGTTAAAGTACTGTTAAGTGATATTAAGCTTTTAAGCCATATTCCTTTTTATCCTTGCTTCACTGTCCTTTTGTCTCACACACACACACACACACACAGAGCATTTCTTGTTCAATTCTGTTTTGATTGGCTTTTATTTGGCTTTGTTGTTGCTTGTTTTAACTTGGGGTGCCTTAACTGTTCTGTAAGTAGTAGAGTGAATCTTGTCAATAAACCTTGTCATGCTGTCACTTACTATTAAATCTAGTTTTTGCTGATACCCTTGCTGATGATTCTTTAAGCAATCTCTAACTCTTGTTCATAACCTTGGATGCTGGAGATGGAAAGAAATTCTTGGTGCTAAGCCCAAATTTCTTTTAAAGAGAATGCATTTAAAACTTATGCACAGGATACTAATTTGCTAGCCAAGGCTACTCAGGGTTGTAGTATTAAATACCCCACAGAAAATGCATAACCAGGGTCTGAGTGTGTGTGTATACCTTGGGAGATTATATACAGTGAATGAAGGGGGAAGGAATGCAAGTGGTGGTTTTTACTGGGGACACTGACACGCTGATGCGAAATCCCCGCTTGTTACCATGAGAAATAGACTGATTAAGACTGCTCCCTTAACATATAAAATGCAATAAAGATCCTTTTGATTAATGAAACAGGAAATCCTCTGGATGAGATAATTGAAAAAATGCAGCAGCTAGGTAATCTTGGGGAATGGAACCCCTGGGGAAGTGCTGGGAATAGAAAAAAACCCGCTGACTGGGCTTTTGACACCACGTGGTGGCCACAGGCCAGAATTAAGATTCCAGGAAGAGATGCAGAAATCCGAGCAACTATTCATGATTTGTTCCAAGCAAGTGTTTCTTATATTTTGCTTTCAACCCTGCCTTGGTAGCAAGTGGATTTGTAGTGTTAAATTCTGTATACACACAGAATAAGAGCAACCTTACAAGTTGCTATTTTTTATGTGTTTTTCCAATCAAAGTGTATCATGTAACTTGTTTCAGTCATTTGGAGTGGAGGTTTCATTATATGAATCTTAAAGTATGTGCTGCAAGTTCTGAAGTATGACAGAAAAGAAAGTGAGTTTTTTTGCAATAGTGCTGGAGAACTACACTGAGCAGAACCTGCAGAGTACAGGCTGGTCCATGCTATTGTTTAGGAAGGGTTGGCAGTGAGCTATCCACAGCTGCCCTCGTGCTCTGGTGTGAACAGACCTAGCTGGGTTCCTTCAAAGGAGAGCTGGAGAGCAAGGTAGGTAGGTGACCTCTACCTGGGAAATTGTCAAGGAGTTAAGCACAATGTGAACCTGTCCGCTGAGGTCCTGGAGTGATGTAGTTCATCTGCTGAAAGATATGATGTCATACCTGGGGTATTGCAGGATACAGAGCTGAACACCCAGCTCCTACAGCAGTTTTCTGGAGTTGTTAGTGCTTCTAATGCATATCGCCAAGTTTCACATGGTCTGAAAAGTATCACTTCTGCTGTTTCCATAGCCTTGATCATTAGCCTATCCACAGGGACAATTAGAGCAGCACAAGAAAATTAAAAAATATTTGCCATAGCTTGATCTATCATTTTAGTAATATTACTTTACTTATAATTATCACTTTAAGTCATTTTCATACTTTTTCTATTTTTATTATTTGTAATATTATACTGAAGTGCCTTCACTATTGATTTAAAACAAAACTCAGTTCATATTTCTCACCATTGTTGAATAAAACTGTTGTTCTGGAAGTTATCTTTCCTCTCCTTCACAGTGTATGCCAATGTTGAAACAACACTCCCTATTGTCCTTACTGACTGTCCTTTGGTTATCATTGTGGGATGGTTTTGGCGCATATGGGCTGGATGCCTTTGGATAAAACTAAAATCCTCCTGATTAAAAGCCTCTTTGTGTAGAGGAAGGATGAGAAAAGAAGAGACATTTTCAGATGTATATAGTTTGGTTTTAAAGTTTATTTTACCTTTGTTTCAGTGGAGTTATTCTATAGTTGCACTGTTTTAAACGATAGGAAAACTAACATCCACTCACTTTAGGCATTAGGAACACCACTCCTTCTACTCATATGCTCCCCAGTGGAACTATTGGGTCAATTTTCTTTTGGATTGTGCCCTCCCTATCCATTCAAGTTTTACTTTTGAGATGCAAAGGTAGAGTATCAAGCCCCCATGGAACCTGGTCCTACGGCTGCTGAGGTGATAGCAGGCAGAAGCAAAGCAGGTTACTATTATCATTCCAGGGGAACAGCACTGGTGCTGAGTACCTGCCAAACAGTTCTGCAGTGGAAGTAACAGGTGGGAGTAGGAGAAGGGGTGGGGAGGTGACTTTTCTTCTGTTTATGTTTTAACAGGGTACCTCAGACTTATACTCCCCTTGGAAAAGACATCTAGGGTGACTCTGGCTAAGGCAGCCAGACTTTATGATGCCTCAGCACTGCTGTGGCTCAGAACACATTCACAATGTGGCTGATCCATGTCCCTCTCACTGTCCATGAGCTGCAACATTTATGTAACAGCACCCCTGCACCTGTGGCCTGTCTGGCTACTGGATTCTGGCAACAACTGTGCTGCCTCAGGAAATCCCCTGCTTTACCCTCAGAGGAGCTGTGGACTTCAGGCACCTTAAATGCAGATAGTTGTACCGCCTTTAAATTTATTAGGACAAGAAATAGCCCTATAACTTGGTGGGTCTACGCCACCATTGTATTAAAATACTTCATGCCATAATAATTCAACCACAGCACAGCTAACCTTGAGTTTCAGTACATGTATGCAAGTCCCACAAGGTATTGTCTTAATCTGCGGGGTCTGAGCCTAGGCCAGAGTGCCAATGGCAAGTAAATTTCCTTGTCAGTTAAGAAAACTAACCCTCTTATTTCCAAATATAATAACTTCAGTATGGATCCAACGAAACCAAACTCAACACTGTCATACTGAGAGCATACATGCTTTTACTCCTGGCTACAGAGATACAGCTAAATTCTAGAACACTACCAAGACAATCACTGCCTCTTCGTTGGCTCCTGGGATTGCAAGTGCACAAGCCCTCATGAGCCTGGATGGAGTTAGTTGTTGGTTAGCAAAGTTTAGCAATACTACCAGCACAGCTATATCTGATTTCTTAATTATTGTAGACAGCATTAAACATGCTACACTACAAAATCGAGCAGCAATTGATTTTTAACTTTTAACACATGAGCATTGTGTTGTATAAACTTAAGTGACCATTCTAACTCTATCCATGCACAACTACAGGAACTATGGACACTTACTCAACAACTTGCAGAACACACCAGTTGGAATCCGTTTGCTGGAGGGACATGGGTTTGGAATTGGCTGAAGAAGGGATTAGTATTACTTTGTGCCTTAAGTATTGGGTTTCTATGTATTATTTGTTGTATTCCTAGTTTAGTATCATTGAACTGATCTTCAATAAATAGCATGTTGCATTGTACTGTTGTTGGTATGGTGGAGTATTGACATGTTCCAAACACGGATCATGTGGTTGCATGTGTCAGGGACCAAGTCATGACTAAGGCCCTGCCATGTTTGTTCTGCTGCTGGGCACGTCGACCAGATAATGAAGAAAAGGCAATGAAGAAATCCTTATTGTTTAACTGGTGGGAATTTGACCCTTAAGAGAAACAATGTGTTGGGAACATAACCTGAAAGAAGAACAATGTACAATGGAGCTGTTGTTAGCATGGAGGTGGTATCATGAGCCGTTGTGGCCTCATCTCATACTGTGGCCAAGTGTGAGATGATGTCGTAACTGGAAAAATTCCACTCCAAGAGGAGGAGATATGAGGTGTGGTTCTGGAGTGGACAGGCTGAAGAGGACAAGACGCATGCATTTTGATCCAAGGGACTTCCTGAAGGTGCAGTGCCTGCCTGCCCCTCCCACCTGAGCACCATGCTCCATCTCCTTCTCCTGCTCAGCGGCTTTCCAAAAAATCCAGGGGTTGGTATGTATTATTTGGTACTGCATGTAATAAAAACAATTCTGCTTTGCAATCTGAGTTGGGTTTCAGGGGTTTTTGTGCACGGGCATCCTCCAGAACCCGTACCAATCATCTCCCAGCAGCTGGAGATGACAACATGCAGAATTCAAGGCCTGCTGAACTTGCAGAAGAAATTTTGACAACAGAGCTTTTCGACCTGCCAAACGACACTGATTTCAGAACAATTGACACCATCACTATTGGTGAGTAGGGAATTGAAATATTTAGTTGCTTTCATAGAAAAAGACCATACCATTATAAGAGCAACAATATCTACAACTGCTGCTTCTCAATGCATTAGCATTGATGAAAAAAGTATGGATCTGAGCAGCTATAAACAGCTTAGGTATCCTCATTACTTAGGATCTTTCTTATCAGCTCCGATAGTTAAAATAGGATGCAACATGTTATTAATTTTGATATAATAATTTTGTGAGTCTGAATTTACAATAAAAAAATCTAAATGCCACTCTTTATTTTTGTGTTGGCCTATACAAGTAGTTGGTCTGGCAAAGTAAAAGTTTAGGAAAGCCTGACCATACAATTACCATAAGTACCTGCAGTTTAAGCATAAGAAGCCGTGGCAATCCCAGCACTCGCTGAGAGCTAGGAAGTAGAAGAGATGGGTAAAAGAGAAAGAAATACTTAAGAGTCACAGACAGTGGTGACAGTACAATGGTACTGACAGTTAAAAAATTCATTTGAATGGAATGTTTAAGTAATCCAGAAGGATGCCATTATTTACACTAGTGATAAATGCAGTGTCTCACATATATCAACACTAGAAACAGCTTTGCATTTTCCAAAAGCAGAATGCTGAAATTATGTTGCTGACAGATTTTTTTTTATGCACACACATTTCTCATTTTCAATTTCTGTCAAAAAATGTACAATTATTAATATATTAATGTCTTGCCACGAGTCCTGCTAGTTTTCTGTTGTTCAAAAGGTTTTAGTGCCAGCTTTATTCTCTGAATCACAGAACGACTGAGGTGGAAAGACACCTCTGAAGATCTAGTTCAATTCCCCTGCAGTTGTGCTGCAGAGTTACCTGCAGCAGGTCACTCAGATCTCTGTCTGGTTGTGTTTTGATTGTCATCAAGGAGACAAATTCCACAACTTCTCTGGGCAACTTCTCCCAGTCCTTAAAAACACAATGAGAAAATTTCAGTTTCTCTCTGATGCTTTTTCTCACGGCAGTTCTTAAAAAGAAAATGTTTCTTTAGTTATTGCAATACAGTAATGATGGACTTACTTGACAATGATATGCTTACTCAACAAGAAAAAGATAGGTAAGGTGAGTTAATCGCTGTTGAGAGGACAAAGGTTTTGATTTATGATATTTACTATCTTAAATACCAACTTGGTGTAAAATTCTGTCCACACAACTATAGACTGGAGAACAACATGGGCTTGTTTTCTGTGCCTGGGCTTCTAACCTGTCTTCTTCTTCAGGTGGTCTGGAGTCTGGTAAGAAAACAAAAGACTGAGAAAATAATGCACCTTAAGATGAGCTTGAGAGGAAAAGACTTATTTATTATTTTGCAGAATCAATATAATTTTCTTGTTGTCTGCATGGAGAGATAAATGATTTCTGCTTCCTGTTTCCTTGGGGTCTTAGTGTTGCTATTTTTCATAGATTTGCCTATACATGGAAAGAGATTACCTTGTGTTCCCCAACTAAGCAAAATGTCCACTAGTATTCCAAGTCACCAGAACAACAAGGCTGAGGTTAAAATCCAGAATTGAAATTTATTTCAATTCCAATTCTGGAATTTCAGAATTGAAATTTATTTCAATTCTGAAATTCCATGTCTGAGTGTTTTGGCTTTTTTGTTGTTGTTGTTGTTGTTTTGTGGGTTTTTTGTAGGTTTTTAGTTTTGGTTTGGTTTTTTGTTTGTTTTGGGGGTTTTTTTTTGTTTGTTTGTTTGTTCATTTGGTTCGTTGGTTGGTTTTTACTACAGCACAATATAATTGATATTGGAATTTATGCCTTTTTAGCCACTGGATATACTTGGAAATGACTGCTCCCTGTTCCTCCAATCCAGCTGAAATATCTCAGGTCAAAAAGTAACAGCTGAGATTTTGATATTACCTGTCTTTTTTAGTGAAATGTAGCATTTTTCTTACGTTGGGAGGCTTTGTTGTAGAGGTCAGGAACTTTTGGTGAAGCACAATATAATTAGCTCAGAGAACAAAAACCAAAAGGTTCATGAACGTTTGTTTCAGCTGTTTGTATCTTCAGGGCAATCTACAGAGTAAGGCATTATTTTTTTATGACACTACCTAAATGCAATAACATTATCAAAGTTATACAGCATAACCTGTGGCAGCCTTGCCTTCTTCCTGTCCACTGACACGTGCTCATACATCTCCCTAAATTAAGCTCTCAGCCTCACATTCCAAACTTTCCCATAGTCCTCCTGTATTCCCCATCACTCCAATCCCATCCTTCCCTACTATTCCCACTACCTGTGCCTCTGCCCCAGTCTTTTGGAAACTCAAACCTCAGTGTTGTTTGGATTCCACTGCAGGCTTTGTTAAAGCCTATGGTAGGTGATACAGGTGTTACTAAGATGCAGAAGTTACCTGACATCAAACTGATTCCTAAAAACTAGATCTCTTGTGAGGGAGGGGCTTCTGACCACCAGGGCTAATTATTTCATTTCCATGTATTCTATGGCCCGGAAGAGCTAATTTCAGATTTCTAGATGCCAATACTATAATAATATAGTCTGGAAAAATCAGTGGTAAGTTAGGTGTCTCATCCAAACTAGATGAATATATTCCATCTGAATAGATGTCCAGGCTAGGTGAGGTGGATAATCTTATGGTGATGCCAGGGCATCATGGTGGTGCCATAGATATTCTTGGCACATAAGAATTATCCATTTGTTTCTTGATTGATGTCTGAGTCCCTTTACCTGATTTTACATGATTACAATAGGTGAGATGTTTCCCACCTGTCCAAGACGCACTTGAATTTTTTGTCAGTTAAATGTGCCCTCACAAGTGGTTTAATCAACCATTAGAATGTTTTAATTCACACATTGTCCATGTCCTAAACTAGGGACTGATATTAAAAATGATCAGTAATTTGTATACGTGTAGATTGGATTAAATTAGATTCCTCTTTGGCACACTTCAGCTAACACAGCCTTCCTCTGCACAAGACTATGAACTGTGTATTTGTTGTGTGTTTACAATACTTTCAGGCTGGTATTGAGACTAAAGTCACTGCCATGTGAACAAGTGATACCTGTATGCAGAGATGAAGCTTTTGAAACAGAGTATTTTGCAGTGGAGATTCACAGGAGGAAAGCCCTAGTTTTGTTAGTAACACAGTGGCAACACCTTGAGTGAGTTTTAGTTCAGGTGAATCATAAAATGAGATTTCTGGCCTTTTGTATTTACAATATTTTTTTCCTGACCTTTGCTGAAGTTTTTAAAAGACAGTAATTTCAGATTAAAAATTAATCTTTCATGTGATAGAAGGGATTCCATTAGTATAAAATATTCAGTGGCAGTTTTCAGACACTGAGGACCAGCCTGGATTTCACTGAATTGCTGCATTTGGATTGTTCAGCCATGGACTCACATTTTGATTTGTGCACCAAAAATACCACTGTACTTGGCTGCTGATCTCAGTTTGTGAGCTTTTGCTGTTGCTAGAGGAGCTTTTCCAAGAGTTACCCAGTTTGTACCTTTAGGACAGTTATACTTTCTGGTTAGTAGATATGAGTACATTCTTGTTTATAGTTATTGGAACTGCAGATTTTTTTACTCACCATTAATGGTTATAAGGGGATTCAGGATATATGGGTGTGATTCTTCTCCTCCATCAATAATTTTTAACATAAAATGCAATAATGTGATTTTAATTTTTTAATATTGCAAACATTACTGGTACTTTTTTTTTCCCCAAGAAATCTGTGTGAGTGGGAGTTCAAAAGCAAATGAAGCCTTTAAAACATGTGTTGCACACTTTGCCCATGTACTTGCAACTTGTTTTACAAGCTGCACCTTCATTTCAAAACTTGAAAATGTAAATACTGTTTTATGCACACTGATAATGAATTGTCTTATGCAGGGATAACAAAGTGTAATGGTATGATATATGTGCTATGAAACTTCAAAATGTAGGAGGAGTCTATTGACATTTCAGATATATGGATGGTTTGTCTGAACAAGATATCTGCAGTTATTAAGCTGTATGCGTATACACTTGTGGGGTTTTCTTTCTAAAGTCCCCATCCTTATTGCTCATGTATCAATGTAAACCTGAATGATACCAGTTAATTTTGAAATGTCAGATCAATATCAATCCTTCAGCATTTGCATCTGCCCCGCTCTGAAACCAGTTTTTCAGTGGAGTCAGTCACTTTTCTGCAATGATACTGGGTTTTTAAGAGTCACCATTCTTAAAACTTGACAAATTTAAAAACTTCCAAAAATGCAAAGTGCTGAAGCAGGGCTGTTCCAGGACAAATTCAGTCAGGAAACAGATTCCACTCAGTGTTTTCTGTAACTGACCTGAAAGGTTGGTTAGACTGACCTTGGTCAGGGTCAGGTTTGGACTGGACAAGGACATACTTGAGTGGTAGTTTGATTAAAAATAGAAAAAGGAAGCAGGAGAAGCTGATTAAAAACTTTGGCTGCTTATAGAACAGTTAGCTACTACATGTTTGCTGTGCCAGCTGATACCAATTAGAAATTATGTTTCTTAAACATAGAAATTACAGCCTCCATTTGGTTTGGCAAAAAATGATTTTCATCTCTTAGGTAATGAAATTAAATGATCAAAATCTGACAAAAACTGTGAAGCAACACCCTGAGGGAATTTTAGTTCAGGTGAATCATAAAATGAGATTTCTGGTCTTTGTATTTATAATATTTTTTTTCTGACATTTGCTGAAGCTTCTAAAAGACAGTAATTTCAGATTAAAATTAATCTTTCATTATGAAGCTAAAATGGGACATTCTGACAATTTCAAAGCTTTCTTTCTGAACCTTGAAATTTCATGGGAGGTAGGATTTTTTTTCTGTGTTTGGTTAAAATTTTTATATGGAGTCAGTTTTAGGGCTCACAGTTGTTTCCCTCAAATTGTTCCCATCATTATGTGTTGAAACTTAGGTCTAGAAGAACATGTGCATTTGAATCTCTCTTGAATATTCTGGTTGTCTTACACATTGTACAGATACTAGAGATTATCACAATTAATGTTTCTAGGGACTGCATGGACTTGATTTTTGCTGCTTTTCAGTATTCTGATTTTGTATTGTTCATTACTTCTAGTGGAAGTTGCAGATGCTTATCACACTGGACAAAGAAGTCCTACATGCAAAGCTGCATGTACAGAAAATAAATTATTTATATGGAGAAAGAAATACAGGGGGAAAACTGTGGTAAAACAAAAAAAGTAAAAATCCCACACTTTTTTCCAGAATTGCTGTTACATTTCTTTTAGAATACAAGGATGTCTTTTATCTTCAGTTTGTGAACTTCTATTCAAACATACAAGACACCCAGAGACGATTGCTTAGAAAGGCTCTTCATGATTTTATTCACTGTGTGAGAAATAGTTGTGTAATGTTATGTCAAGTATGTCCAAGGCAGTCCAAAAATGAAGTGTCCAGTTAAATAAAAGAACTTAGATTCTATAGGAATGTTATGCCAAGGAAATTGTTCTATGTATATCTTATCATATGTCACTTTATCTCATTATGGTCAGTGGATTCTCCATGTTGTGAAGGGACTGTTTGAGTTGTTATTACTCAGGTAAAGGGAGTCCAGATAGGGCACTGAACTGGGGCTGAGGTGACCTGGGCTGTGTACCCAGTCCTTCAAAGCCTCACTGGGTAACACCAGACCACTCATTCTCTCCCCCAGTCTTCACATTTGTGATGGGAAGGTCATCATAGCTTCCACAGGGCTCTGCAGAGCTGCTGACTAGTAGCAATTCTTGATTCCACAGAAATAAGAGGCTCCTTTTTTTCCCATTTGTGTAGGACAATTTAGTACTACCTGAGAGAAAAGCAGCTGTGAAACCTCCACAGAAGCAGTACTGGCTGAATTACTTGTTGGGCACCCTGAGGTGGGCAGGGCACAAAGCTGCCACACCAGCAAATACAGATTTCCAGTCAAATGAGGAGGCAGTAGGTGCAGTCAGTCCAACACAAAGCCATGTGCTAAGTGCTGTCAGTTGAGCTTGAATCACATCTCTAATACTGTTGACAAAGTAACGCGAGCTGCATTTCATTATCTGCCTTTCTAATAATATCTTTTTTTCTTTCCCCTCCCCAGCCTGCTCCAGAGACAACTGGTGAGTTCTGTTTAGAGATCTATTTGTATGCACAGGAGGCAGTCAACAAAACCAGCTGCTCATAAACATGGCTACGACAGACACAGATTTATAATTACTGTTATTGTTATTGCATTAATTTTCACACTTCATAAAGATAACAGCAAGGGCTAATGTCCTACCTCACTTGTCTTTTTATTTTTCAGAAATAGACCTAGATGGAGGAATTGATCAGGACATCTTCGACATAAATGAAGGTTTTTCAAAATTCAGTCTCAATTTAAAAAAAAAAAAAATTCATTGTAGTAGTTACAGATCAATACCATAACTGAATGTTAATCTCTTTCCTTTAGCTTTAGGACTAGACCTTTTTGAGGGAGACATCAAACTTCCTGTGGTGAGTTCAAATATAAAATACAAAGCCAAAAATATGTCATTGACTTAAATGTAAAGTATCACTGGCATGGAAATAATAGATGCATCCTGCTCTTACAAACAATAAATGCTGTTTTTGTAACAATAAACTGAAGATGATTGGGGATGGAATTCTACAAAATGTCATAGACAGTAAAGGAGTCAACAGCATTTGCAGAAACATTATCCAGCATGAGATCTCATCAGTGATTAGATCAGTATTATTAGCTTCTTGTTTCCTTTTTTACATTGTCACTTTTAAGAGATTAGGCAGCACTGATCATCATCCAGGCAGTATAAAAAGAATATATATAAATTGTATAAAAAGAATTGTATAAAAAGAATTCTTTGTTTATCTGTACAATATTCTGAGCCAGTTAAATTTACTGAGCAGCGCTGCAAAACCTTCATCCTGTAAGTAGATTGAGTAAAACCAATGAAACATTTAGATATCTAATATCACATTTTAAGGGCATCTGGCCAGTATCCTTATCTGATCAATGAAAAAAAAATACATTTACATCTCAAAAATATCTAGTAGGAAACCCCCAATGTGTCTTGCACTCTGAATGTAGTCTGAAAATAGTCTTTTACTCTCCCTTTTGGGGGATATGCTGAATATGTCTCTGAAAGCAAGGACAGCACTTGCTAAAGGTACAGAAACAAATGCTTGCATTATGAAAAATTACAAAACTATTAATCTCTGTACAGTTTTCAGGACTTTAGATCTTAAGGCTTCCCATAGGAGCAGAAGGTCCTGTGCACATGCATCAAAAGCTTGGGTAATTTCTATGGAGAAAATGCAGCAGAAGTTGAAGACACCAGTAGAAGGGCATGAAGGGATTTCAAACCCAAACCTCAGACCTCTGAGTAATCTTTTGAGGGTTTTGAGCTTGTTATTTTCTTCTACCTCTTACTTGGAATTGTAGGCTTGCTTTAGCACTATTGTAGTCCCTGATGCTAAATCCCTTTTTACTGAGGACTGCATGTTTTCTTTCTAGATACAGGATCGAAACTCCATCATTGGTGACAAGTATCGGTGGCCCCATGTTATCCCTTATGTCCTTGAGGACAGCCTGGGTACAGTATTGCCCTTCACAATGTCTATATGTTGTGTTGGTTGAACTGTTCAACACAGGTTGATAAAGCTTCTGTGGTGTCCTTTCCACTCTTAATCTAGAGCAGGCCCTTTCCCACAGCAGGAGTGGGGCTGAGTGTGCACAAACAGGATTTATAATCTTGGGATCAGAGCTGGCTCTCACCTCCTTTCTTGAATGATTACCCTGCTACGGCCCAGCAGATTGTTTTGGTTTTGAAATGTTGTGTCTGAGATGTGAAACTCTACAAAGCAGAGGTGAAAAGAGGGCACTGAAGACATTTTTAAGGACAGGAAGCTTACCTGGCCATTTATATAATTCCCAGCAGTGAGGGCAAAATGGCATTCTGACAGACAGTTGGCAGTGGTATATTGCCAAGTCCCCTGTGTGAGTCAGAGACACATCATAATTTGACCCCATCCTTTAAATCTTTGTGTTGAAACTATGCAAGTTTCTTAGAGGAGATAACACAGATACAGTCGGAAGAATTCAAGTCCTGGAGAAAATCAGTGAGGGATCTGTAGCCTGAATTCTGTACTAGGTAAAATGTGAAGTCTTAATTTCCTATCTATTTAATACTTGTTTACATAAATCTCAAAAAATAAATGAAAGAATCTACAAAATTAACCTCCCCCCCACAGTACCCTTCTATATACTCATCATGTCATATTTGATACAAAAATGCCAAAGAAAAATTACACAGGAGCAAAACAAGAGCAAGATACAGTGTTGCAAGACCCTAATTTATGTTTTTTAGGTCCCCCTTTTGGTTTTAATAAAACAAAAAAATCTGTTTATTTTGATCAAAGATTGCTGGAGCAAGAGCCACCTTGGGACTTACTCCACATGGATAATGGTAGAAATCTTTCTGTTCAGTATTGACAAGAACACTGTTTGCTTTGCAGAAATGAATGCTAAGGGAGTCATCCTCAAGGCATTTGAACGGTATCGACTGAAAACCTGTATTGACTTCAAGCCTTGGGAAGGGGAGAAGAATTACATATCTGTGTTCAAAGGAAGTGGGTAAGAGAAGCAATTAAAAATAACTTTAATTATGTTTGCTTTCAGACTATTCTCATGGCCAGTATTCAACCTAAAATTCATATATCTGGTCATAACTACGTTTTTGTTGTCACCATTTTCCCAGTCCTGATATTTATTCTTAAATGTAAGATATCAAGTTCTATAAGAGATATTTTACTGGACATGGTAAAAGATATCTGAAACAAAGCAGTTGTGTTCTTGACTGATCTTTGGATATATGGAGTATTACTTTCAGCTGGTCATTCCTAGTATACCTTGGCTTCTAGGGGAAAAGAAAAACCAAGGAGAAATGTGACAGTTCTCACTGTGGGGCAATGAATTTATTTGACTGTAACAATGGAAATGCACTTGAACAACTCCATATGAGCATTCAGATAAAAGAACAATATTTTTAAACGCTGTGCAGCACTGAGATATTTTGCTGATATTTTACTTTATTTACCTCTTTTGATGAATAGTCATGCTATTTCATCTTAAATATTGCAAAATAAGACTCCAGTAAAGAAGTCAAAATTGCCCCAACTTCTTTCCTTCTAAGACATTCTCTGTCAAAACAGTGCAACAAGAACAAATATATTCTTCACTCTGTGCTGAACCATTTCTCTTATAGAAAAGGAGAACAGGGAGAACTTGATAGCCTGGTGAGGAAATTTGCTTTCAGAAATTCATTTCCTGATATAAGAGTGCATTCATAAATGGGAAAAGATTTTCTGATAATAAAAATGTTTCTCTTTCCCTTTGGCTTGTTCTGAGATATTCATAGCAGATAATTGTTTCAAAATTTCTTTGGTGTCTGGCTCTTTGTATTTGCTGCTGTTCATGCTGTACACATGACACTGAAACTCAGCTCTAAAAGATGTATAATTGGAGACTCAGGGAGCAATGCATTTTCCTGTGCTAATGACTCCAGCTTTTTGAGCTAAATGGAAAACCCATGTAGCTGAATTTCGTAATCCTTCATCCCCTAAAATATGCATTGAATTTGCTAATAATTGTACCTGAAAAAGAACCACAATATTTAGCCTATGGCAAGTAGGAGGCCTCTGTGCAATGTTTCATTTATATGTCTATTAAAAATAGATGAGTCATGGTGATGAAGAAGATAAATCCATCTAGTTGGATAGTATATCTTGCCCTCACGGTCTGGTGTGTGGCTTGCCCTGAAGTGTTTCCATCACCTTAGCTGACATATCCACAGCAGAACTTTTTAAAAGATTGGAGCTAAATGGTGCAGTCTCCTGAAAAGGTCCATCCACTTTCAGTGAGTCATCTTGGGTTGTACAAAGAAATCAGGACTGACCCTGAATGAACTCCTTTAATTTCAGGCCATTCCTTACTTCTGGTGTAATGGGTGTAAGCTGGGTAAACCAACCCATTTTTGCTCTGCTGTTCCTAATACTTTGGAGTTTTTAAAATCAATTAGGACTCTTCTATCTGCTGACTAAAGACCTCAGCCCAGAGGGTACAGTGCAGAGAGGCACACAAAGCTCCTGGCAACATAAAATTTTACCACTTCAAGTAAAGGTTGATAAATCACATCTTTGCCTTTCTGATTTTGGCTTGCATCTATAAAAGAGAGGAATGTGGGAGAAATTTTGTGTCAAAAGGATTTGAAGTAAGCCAAAAGTCCTCGTTTTGATTACCCTTTTGAATTCAAATTAAATCAGCCACAAAAGAAGCCAGCTGTCTTTTGTTGTATTGACTGCCCTGTGTAAAAATGCATTTGTAGTCTCTGGTGTATGAACAGAGTGTATCAAGGCCCTGCCCAAAGAGCCCTCTCCCTGTACACGTTCTTTATCTATCATTCACCTTGGTGAATGATAATACTACCAGTATTATGTTAGCTCCTGCCTGTGTGCTGAGCAAAACACATGAGGTATGTAATTGTGAATTACAGAAATGCAGGATAATCAGATTGGCTGCAAAGTTCACAGAGGAGTCTGGAAACCTGCAATGGATGTGCCATTTCACCTTACTGTTCTCATGAAGAGCAGGATTCATTCAGCAGGAAAGCTAACATGGTGTGGTAGAATCAAATAATTAACAGACCACGGAGGATAAACATCATCTCTAGTATTTCCACATGGATTTTCATGGGGCACTCCTGGGAGGGTGCTTCAGCTCTTTGCCACTGTTGCACATGACAAAGGGAATCCATGCAGGAGTAGATTGACACAGATCCCTGGCTCTCCAGCTTGGTGCTGGTAAGTCAGGGTGTCTGTGAGCTGATATTGGCGATCTGTGATACTGTGGGAAGAAAATTAGTAGCAGGACATTAGTACAAAAATGTGCCTGAAATAAGTGGCATCACTGCAACTGATGGCGTGTGTCTATTTACAGCCCCAAAAGGGGGATGGTGGGATCAGTCAGAGCAAGTATTTCCCTGTTCCTCCAGCCTCTGATAGCAATGCAGGAAGCATTGAGTAACAGGCAACACAGCTCTCACACACCTGGGGAAAGCTGAGACTTTCTTCTCCTCTCTCCCCTCCAGAAGACACAGGATTCTATGTGCCCATTGCTCTGGAGTGCCATGTCCCACTCACCTCAGCTTTATTCTCAGTGCAGGGTAGCACAGACTGTGTATTTGCCCCCTCTGTGGCTGTTGAATGACAGTGTTTTAGGCATCTGGCAGACCAAAGGCATGGGGAAGCTGCACCTACTGTCGTTTGGGTGTTATTTTTGCCAAGTGCTTGGATGTGCCTGCTGTAGCCTGCTGTGCACTGTGTAGCAGCTGTGAAGTCAGAGGTGGCTTTGGGTCAGAGGTGGACCCAAGCCTATGATGGACTTCTGCACAACACAAGAATCAATATGAGGCCTTGTTCAAAGAAAGACTTTGAAATTATGGATGCTACATGTGCTCCTTAACAGGTCTCATGTTGTGATTTTAATGAGTAATCAAAAGGCAAGGCCTGTGTTGCTCTGTGGAAAATGAAATACTGGGGAATATGTTGCACTAATAAGTCACAGAGTGTGAAAGCACATGGTGTGCTTGTATTTTTAAATTTCTGGGGTGATAGGACTGCAAATTCTATGGCATATTTTGTGCCCTATTAATTTTATGTACTTCATTGGGTAAGTATTGATTTATTTGCTACATAAAATATCAATTTAAATGTAGTTCTCTGTGCCTGCTAGTTTGTGGACATGGGGTGCCATTTTATTGGCCTGTGCAGATAACTCACTAAATTCTTTCACCCTTTAATAAAAACTTGCAGCACAGCTGCAGTTTTGCTCTTACTTGGGAGTGTGTGAGAGCAGCAAGTGCTGTAGCACAGTAGCTGAAAATTGTTAATTTGCAGAAATTTAATTGCTCTAAATTATGTGCTCACAACCTTTGATGTTCCAGAGTACCAAAGAAATCATCATCAGTTTTCTTTTGTCACAAGTAGATCAACATTTTTCTTCTAATAGAACCAGAGACAAGGACCTTCTTGTTCATCGAAACAGAGCTAAGTGTGGGAGGAAGGGGTATGATAAGGAACAGATCAATGGAAAAGTGCTCTCTGTAACAAAATGTGACTTCAATGCTCAGGTTAAAAATATACCTATTGAATAGACTGGTTTTGAGGTTTTCATGGCATGGGGATGGTGTGCATCTCAAAGAGCCCTCTCTCATTTTGTGTCACTGCCAGCTGCTGGTCCTCAGTGGGAAACATGCAAATGGGCTTGCAGCAACTCTCCATTGGAGCCAACTGTGACAGGATTGGGACAATCCAGCATGAGTTCCTGCATGCCCTGGGATTCTGGCATGAGCAGTCTCGGTCTGACCGGGATGACTATGTGACCATTGCCTGGGACAGGATCCAGTCTGGTCAGTCACTCCTCTGCTTTCCTCTCAATCTCTGGTGCTAGCAGTTTAGATGTGGAACATCCCTTCCAGCCATCTGTTGGTGGTCATGCTATTCTCTCACCTGGACTTACTTTCCAAAGCCAATATATCAATAAATTAGATATAAAGGGACGTCTGCTTGAAACATAAATTCTCATTTGTTCTTGCTGTTGTAGTTGCTTGTGCCACGGCAGTTTCCGAAGCTCTAATTAGAGATCTGTATCCTCTTATGCTACATGTTGTACCACAGGGCAGCAGGAGAGGATAATTTAGTTTGTTTAAATGAATACTCTAGAAATACACTTACTCTAGAAGCCCTTAATGAAATAAAAATAACTAACACCCCCCCCCCCCCCCCCCAAGTCTGAAAAATCCAGTGTGAACAAAACCAGTAGAAAATCTCCAGTGAAAACAGTGGTCCTTCTCTTTCTGCCTGTCTGCTACACCTGGTACTGGCAGCAGAGCTGAGAGACCAGAGTGTGCAGAGGGTGGGCAAGCAGGAGAGACATTTCAGGGTCTGTGTCACACCAGCAGTTACTTTAGCAATGCAGCTTGTGAATTGTAAGTGTTGGTATATTTGGCACAAGCCTGAGACATGGCACAGAATTCCTCAGGACTTTGCTCTGTCTCTGCTTCTTTAGCTTGTTGTTGTCCTCTGTGACTTTCAGGCTGTTCAAAAACAAAGTTCTCTCCACAGACTTGATGTTTTCCTAACATAGGTAGACACAGAAGACTGCAAAACTGGATAATGATTAAATCTAATGCATTCTTATTTAGTCCTGATCAATAGTCAGGTGCATATGCAATTATATATTACAGAAAATTACTTAGACTCTATTATTTGATTTTCATTATATTTTGCTGACTCTTTAGTGACAAGCTCCACTATTGTGAGATACTTGAAACTGCTGCAATTTTTTTACACTGACCAGAATATAATTACTGTATTTTGACTGATTTAAATTTTGACTCCCCATTGGGTAGAAAGCAACTGGTTCTTTGCTCATACTCCAGAAAACATCTGTAAAGCTAAATTCTGGAAGTTTATCTGATGACAACTCTAAATTGTTTATTATTACCTAAAATTATGAGGACTTGAACATCACAGAATACAGATTAGAAACAGTTGCAAATTACAGTAATTTGAGAATTGAAACACTCTCTCCACTCTTGGATATCACAAGCCTATCAAAGTTTATAAATTGTTCCACAGGAAAAATTTTCTGGTAGCAAAAGCTTTTCTTCATCCAGCAGAAGTCATCAGTTGCTGAAAGAGAAAAGTAAATAGCCCTAGACTGGAAATAAAACTGTTTTACAAAATAAGTACAAGTAAATTACTACAAAAAAATATTTTGAGATGTGATAGATTCTCTGTCACTGCAAGTCTTTACATTAAAATTTGATTCCCTTGAGCAACAGACAATCTATCCTTTCAATTTTGCCATTTAGGTAAAGAACATAATTTCAATAAATACGATGATAACAGATCAGACTTCCTGAATGTTCCCTACGACTACAATTCTGTGATGCACTACAGCAAGACTGCATTCAGGAATGGAACTGATCCCACCATCATCACCAACATACCAGACTTCATTGATGTCATAGGACAGAGAATGGATTTCAGTGAGTACGACCTCCAGAAACTGAACCGGCTGTACAACTGCAGTAAGTTTCTCCATTTATTTTATATTACTTGAAAGAATCATTTGAAAGAAATGAGGCTGATCCATACATGTTGGACCCATCCAGACACAAGTGAAAGGGAAACTAACATATTTAGAGAAGTGAATTGTGTTAAAAACACCAGAAATAATGGTACAGCTAGAAATAGCATTCCTCTTGCAGAAACACTGCTGAGTAGCAGAGGTTTCTGTGCAATTTTATCTGACCTTTAGTTAAAAACCAGCTTTGCTCAGCAGCTGACTTTTGTTCATCCCTTGGGTGGCTGTTTAAAATGTGTGCTTCTGCACAAAGCCTTTTGTTTTTTCCCTGCATTATTCCACAGCTGATGCTCAGACACTGCACAGAAATGAGCATCTTTGCTGTGGCTGTCATACCTACTCCACTTTCATGGAATCTGTGAGACAGATTCATGCCTATTTATATATACCCTATCCATGCAAATAGGGTACAGATGCCATTCTGAATAAAATGCAAGCTTTCTAAATTTTCTTGTTAAGCTTCAAACCTGGTCTCTTACAAAAGTGGTCAGAAGAGTTATTTTGCTTAGGTGGTGTTTCTTTTACAAAGCTGAATGAAAGTAAGAAACAGAGAAATCTAGATAAGTCCATTATCAAATTGGAATATAATTCTGTAATTGTTGCTGCATTCAGTGTGCCCTGACACTCAGAAGAGAACTTTTACAATATCCCAAGTAGTGAGTACTGGCTTACAATTATATTTTAAGCCTTATTATACAGATCCTTTAAACAACTATCAAACTGGTTTATTAAAAGGGTGCAGTTTTTCGAGTGTAAAATTCTGATGAAAATATTTTTATTCATGTAGGTCTAAATTGAACACAGACACACAGCCTTAGCTTCTAGCACTTGCCACACAATCTTAGGCATTATAAAAATCGTTACAGCTAAGGATGTCTTTCACAGAGGATGGGGTCCTTCTTCCTCTCCATTAATCTTATCTATTTTCCATCATTCTTGTGCATTACAGAAATACTTCATGATGTTTTAACTTTATTCTTAACCCACAGGCACATTCCCCAAATGAAAAAAAGGCCCAGTCCTGCTGAAATCAGTGACAAAACTTCCACCACCTTCAGTGCAATTAGGACCCTGCTCCCCAGTCCTTCTCTTGGCTTCATGTGATGTGTATAGTGTGGATGATATTTGCAGAGACATAAATATTGTCAGATCAGCCACCATTGTCAGGGAGGATGGTGTTTCACAGATCCCAGCCCTCACCCACACAAAAGATTACTTCATTTGCTGAACATGATTTAAGGAAATGTGTAAGCTAAATTTCTGCTAGAGGCCCATGTGGACAGGAAATTACATTAAAAATGTAACTAATTCCTAAATTGAAGAAAACAACCCACAGCATAAGAAATACTGACAGATTGTTTAGTGCTGCTCCAATCTGTAATTCACTGCTTTCTGTGAGGCCATATGATAACAGTAGATTTTAGTCTGCTTTCCCCTTGGAGCATACTGCTGGACAGAGCTGACCATGAGGTTTCCCTCAGCCTCTGGAAGTTGGGACTTTGCAGTCACTCCCCAGGCGTTTTCTTCTGAGTCCAGTCTTTAACTGCATACCAAAGAAGTGTCTGGCTTTGGTGCAGACAGAATTCACAACCTGCCTCACTCATTGCCCCTTCACCTGTTTCAGGAAGGAACCTCAGAAATACATCACAATCTACTGAGTCTTGCTTTTCTGTCTTCCTGGCATTCAGGTCAACTCTCCATGCCAGCCAGCACTTTCTACTTAAAAGTCATTAGGTTACTTCCTTCCTGTTTGGCCAAATCAATTTCATGTTTTGTTTTGTATTTTGATTTCAAAGAGTTCTGTCACCTAATAATTCTCAATTTTTGCTTGCCTTCTTTCTTCAGCAGTCAGCACAACATTTGCTGTGAAAGCCTTTTCTTAGTTCATGCAACATTGTACTGAGCTGTATCTTAAAAAATATCTGCCATACACTTCTGACTACATGCAGCCTCCAGAGGGTTTTTAGCTTTCTGTGAGGACAGCAGTAGAACTGTCTATATCTCATATCTCAATTGGCATATGAATTGGCAGCAGTTCATACTTAAGTGCTTCCCAGAGCTGCAGCTCAAGTGAAGCATTTTGTATGTTATTGAGGTTGAGTTTTGTGATACTCAAGGTCTTTTTGTTATGCAAGGAAACCTTTAAACCTTTGAGCCACAATATTTTAGACATAGTTTAAAAAGTATTTCATTAACTTAGCTCTTTTCAAATCATGGCTGGTATTACACATGAGCTCAGACATGGTACAATGGGAAACAAAAATAAGAACAGGGATAAACCTGGACTGTGCTATCTCTCACCTAACCAGAGTTTGCTTTAGACAGAGGAAATATTTCATATGGTGTTCTCCCTTCCATATTTAACTGCACACTCTTCCTTCACCTAATTTTTCACTTGTTACATGAAAGATATTGAAAAATTTGTATGGCAAGAAATATCCACTGTTCCCAAATATACCTTTACCAAATATTTTTTTGTTTTGTTTGTTTGGCTTTGTTTTGTTTTGGTTTTGTTTTTTTTTTAATTCTGTGTTTGGAAAATCAAGGTTTGTTTATTCCAGCCAAATAGCTTCTGCTCTTCTATATTTCAAAATAAGCACTCCAGCTTATACATTAGTGAGTTTGTATCAGAATCTGTGGCCTTGTGTGGGCTGGCCCAAAGAAAGCAGAACAAAGAATGGGAAGTCTCAGGATCTTTTGAGTATAATATGAAGATGTGTGGATTGGGTTGATATTAGTGTTCCTTTTATAAATAAAAGACATGATATGATAATTAGCAGATGCCCTCCTGTGTTTGCTGAGGGCCCAGAGTGTCCCTGATGACATCTCATTAATGTCAGTGTTAATCACCAAGTGTTTTGAGTTCCTGAACATTGTATATATGAATGCTGATCATATTTGAAACCACTGATTACTCGGTGTTTGCATTTAGTCTTTCTCTGCTCATTGCATTGGACCTTCAGAATTAAAATGTGTTATGTAATAGAGATTCACAATTTTTTTTTTAATTTATTTTTCCATAGCCTCCTCCCTAAGTTTCATGGACACATGCAGTTTTGAACTTGAAAATATATGTGGCATGATTCAAAGTTCAGATGATAACAGTGACTGGCAGCGTTTGTCTCAGGTTCCTGCTGGGCCAAATACAGATCACACCAATATGGGAGAATGCAAAGGTATGAGAAAAAAACTCTTATCTTTCTGGGAGGTGTTTTCTGCAGAGGCATGCAGGGTTCCTTCAAGCTTGGCCTTGTTATCTATTTATTTTTTGACAGACTGCAGTTTATTTTTTAACTAAGCAGCATAAATCTACATACCTGGGGACATCATGTGATACGTTGATTTTCTGCTTATTTCAGAGGATTGAATGTCCTTATCTCTTTTGATCAGTATTTTTGGTCTTAGTGTCACATCCTGTCACGTGAGTTATATAAAGCATTGAACCTGTGATACAGGCACACCAAACAGATTGCTGCTTTTCTCAATAACTGCTCAATAAGTCCTTGGACAGGAGTAGGAAATGAAATGCATATTATCAGGGCTGAGGTGAAAAATTAATTGACAATCTAGCTAGATGTATCTCAACCTGTCAGAATAGTCCAAGAGTTCAGGAGTTTAAATCTGTCCTCCAGGGTGTCAACTGTGAGTAACTGGGTAAAGAGCAAAAACCCATGGTTTGGGTACAATTTCCTGGAGACAATGAAATGAGGACAAAAGCTGCAAAGAGAATAGTTCTACCTTTGGAAAAGGTGAACAGGTAGTAGTCCTCAGTCAGAGATTTGTACAGGATCTACCTAACCCTGACCTGACTGTATCTTCTAGATACAGCATTAAGAAATACAGCATTAAGAAAGCCAGTACATCAGGAAAATTCTGTTTTCCCTCCCCTTTACTGCTCATTTCTCATTGACTTTTGGCAGATTCTGGCTACTTCATGCATTTTGACACCAGTGCTGGAGGAGAAGGAAGCACAGCTGCCCTGGAGAGCCGAATTCTCTATCCCAAAAGAGGTTTCCAGTGCTTACAATTCTATTTATATAACAGTGGTAACGAGAATGACCGGCTGAATGTCTGGGTCAGGGAGTACACGTCAGCCAATCCAAATGGCACTCTGCGATTCATCAAAGAGATAAAAGGTATGGAATAAAATTGCATTTTGTTTTAATCTATCCTCAGTATTTTTCAAAGTACTGGGGAAAATTATTGTGGCAAAGTCACTCATTTCCTAGTGCTGTTCTTTGGCTTCTTCTCTATCTATGTAATTGATTCATTGCTGCTGAAATTATACCTGATGGATCCTCAGTCAGCTGCTTTCCTATAATATAATAAATTACCACAGATTTCAAACTCTTGTATTATCAAGATAGTTTTCTTGCCAAACCAGCTAAAATTCCATGAGCAATCATTTTAACTGTTCTAGAATTGCTGGTATCAATAGCAGCTGATGAAGTCGGAATATTAGAGTAAATTACTATTAATAAGAAAGTATAATAAAGAAATGGAAAGCATAAATGCCCTGGAATATCTAAGTTAAAAAAGATAAATAAAATTTAAATTACTTAACTGAAATATATGAGCAACAGATCACGATTTGAGTTGCAGTTTGAAGAAGATTAAATTCTTGTGGTTTTAGGAGCCTATGGCCTACAGAATGACCTCAGCTGAGGTCAGCTAATGGACAAGAGCTCTTTAAGCTAGAATTCCCAAAGTCACCTTATGATTAAATTACTTTCTCAAATACTTAACTCATATGTGGTCTCCATTTCACCTACACCAACTTCAGAAGGATCTGAGCAAGTTTTTTTACTAAATAGGTATAATTTCTGTCTCTTTTTGTTCCTTTAGGCTCAGCTGCTGCTGGTGCCTGGGGGTTTTTTCCACTCTTTTCTTCACTTCTATGGCTTCACCCTCTGTGCCCTCTGAGCTAACAGGCATCCATAACCTAAGAGCTGCTAAGGCAGGTGTAGGCTTCACATCAGTCTGAGCCCTCCAAACTCTTTCAAACCCTATTTTGATGCCAAGAGTAATTTCTCCAGACTTCAGCCTTCCTCACAAACACTCTTTTGTGTCTATTAGGCCCCATCTCCCATTCCTGCTTTCGCAAGTCCATAATTTTCTTTAAGTCTCTAAACTCATAAGTGTGTCCAAAGAGGCACCCTATTTTGACAATCTGTGGCAAACTTTTAGGAATGGTTCAAGACCACTTTCCCTCCAAGCTGTTTCACTTCTCTCAAGTGAGAAGTTGCCCTCTCCAATGCAGTTAATAACCTGAAAGTAACAGTGACACTACAGCCCCTTCCATCTGTGGTCTGACCTGGTTGAGCTGCTCATGGGTTTGCACTGAACTATGATGTTTGAGAGGCTTAGGGACAATCCCTGAACGCTTCCCACTGGTTTGTGGCAGCTGAGGATTTTTGAACTGCATGTATTACATGTAAAAATCCTTCAGTTTATGCTGGAGGCAATTTCATGGAAAACAGCGGGGTGCTTTTCTTCTTGTCTCTTGGTCAATTTTTTCCCTCCTAATTATAACAGTAATGAAAAATGTCAAGAAATTAAGACATATTTGAGATCCATTGTGCTGTGTTTCGGGTTGTTAGGAGAGTGATGTATATGAGTTCTGTACCTGCTTGTTCAATAAATGCAGCTGGTCTTCTGTGCAGATGAACTAAAACCAGGCCACAAAAGAAACTGTTTTGGTGCACATACTTTTTAAAAAGGGTGTTCTACTTTCATTGACCTCACAAGGCCCCTGCGCAGAGGTCTTTGCTTTTGTGTACACTGCTGTTGGAGTCAAGTGGAATTTGCTAGTGCAGGCACTTTTGGATACAGCATCAAACTTGCAGCAAGCTTCTCTTGCACGAAGTAGGTTTGGAAATGACTGGCTTTAATTTGACCTTAGTACCATTAATAATGTGATGGGTGAATAGTGCTTCTGCATAGGCAAGCTTCCAACAAGCCATTTAGAAATACAAAAACAAATGAATGAACTAGTCTTGTAGTTCTAGGTTCCCAGAATCCTCTGGAGCATTTTGTGTTGAGGCAGGTTGTTGTTCAGTTATTTGAATATAAGTTGTTCCGAATTTTTTCTTTTTAACAATACAGGTGAAACTATTTTTGTGGATTTAATATTCACAACTCCTGGATTAATTTAATGAAATTTTATTAAAAAATGTAAAAGAAAAAGCAGTGTTATAACCCATCAACAAGTGCTATTATGAATATTAATTCGGTTAAAATATTGTATTGAGCAAATATGATCTTGAACTGAAAAAGTAACATCTACAGAAGAAATATTCCATCACATCAGTGCCAGTGGAATTGAAAGATTCTTACATAGTGTTGTTATGGGGTTCACAGACCTGTGTAGTGTTTGACTGTATTGCTGAGTCAGAAATCTCCGCCCTTGTTTTTCAGGTTCACCTGAGACCTACTGGCAGCTCCATCATGTTTCTTTGAATGTCACCAGTAAATTCCGGGTTGTGTTTCAAGGCGTGAGAGGAAGTGGCTTATCAAATGGAGGCCTCTCTATTGATGACATCAACTTGTCAGAAACTCAGTGTCCCCACCATGTCTGGCATATCAGAAATTTCACACATGTCCTCAACACAAGTCCAGCAGGAAAAAAGGGAATAATATACAGTCCACCTTTTTACTCTAGTGAAGGATATGCTTTTCAGGTCAGCTTGTATGTAAATGGTACCACGGATAACCCATTTAATTTAGGAATATACTTGTCCTTGATTTCTGGAGCAAATGATGATCATTTGAAATGGCCCTGTCCATGGCAACAAGTTACCATGAACCTTCTTGACCAGCATCCTGATATTCGTCAACAGATGTCAAACCAAAGAAGCATAACAACAGACCCTGAGAGGCTTTCAGGTTAGTTAAAATTAAACATGTAAAACACAACCAAAAGACAAGGGGTCACATATCCTCTTGGTTAAATTAATACATATTTTTTAGCTTCCGGAATGTTTCATATGTTTGCAGCAACAATAATATTGACCCACAGACAAGAAAAAAATTAAACCTACAAGCAAGTTAAGCTGGGACTCAGGATTTCAGAGTTGCATTTGCATACGAAACAGGTGGATCATCTATTCCTAAAGTTTATTTCATATGCTCTGTGAGGATACATATATTTCTGTTTTAATGAGAATGGAAGTTTTCCAGAAGTCATGAAAAGAAAAATATGGAATTAACAATACAGGCAGTTTATAGCAGATAAAAGTGAAGCAACTATCAAACAAATCCCAGCCCTTCTTGTCAAAGGTACAGTGATGCCAGCAAAAGCCTCCAGATGGACAAAGTACTGATTCATATTATGTAATCTGTACTTATTCAAGATGTGAGAAGATAAGGGTTGTTGTCCATAATAACTTGGAAACGTGACAGTTGAGGTAAAAGTAACTCTGAGAAATGATAGGAATCTCTACAGAGGGAGATATTAAAGAAAACACCCACATTCAGCATTGGATAAAGTTTGGATTTAAGTCATTATGGCTTTTGTCATAATGACATTCTTCTTTTTGCCAAAAGAAATCATCTCTGCCACTGAATCAGTTTTCTGACTAGAAAGTAAGTAAGGAAGGTACAAAACCATCCAATTCGTATTATTATTTGAAAACCAGTATGTTTTACATTGCATTTTCTGTGACACTGGCTTTACATGAAAACAAAGTGGGTAATCGAGAAAGACTTAAATGTCCTCTCTGTAAATGAAAGACACACCACACCATGTCCTCTACAGATGTTTGTAAAAGCACATTTTCCTTGTGCTTTCTGCTGTTACAGCCACAGTGCCCTTTTCCTTCTCTGACCCTGTGGACATGCAGTCTGTTTGCTCTCTGCTCCTTCTCTCTTGTTTATTCATATATTGCAAATAGTCCACGATTTCCAAGGGAAGCCTTGTAACACACGCCTTTTATCTAACCAGAGAGGTGGTGGAGCAGGCAGATCTTTCTCCCTCTGTCAGATTCTTTCATGGACAATCAGGCTCAGCTTTGAGCTTTAGAGCAGGGTTTGATGGAGCAGGCATCAGTGATTGTGATCATTTAGGTTGTTCAAATATCTTGTGCCCCACATCTACTACAGGGGCATGGAGATACAGGAGATGCTCTCTTTTGAGAAGCATTGCATTAACCCATGTTATAGATGATTTATGTGCTACTTATCTTCTTGACCACCTCACTTTAACAAACTAAAAAGAAAATACAACAGGCTTTCAACTAGCTCTCCAATAACCTCACCTCCAGCAGGTTCTTTTCTCAGTACCTCAGGATAAATCAAATAATTGAAGATCTCCATTGTCTTATGCCTCTCATCAGTGGGGAATCCCAGGCAATTGAGGTTTCTGCTGAGACACAAATCCAGACCAGTCTCACATTCACATTCTTTTTATCTTTTTTTACTCCCCAGAATCCTCATCAAACTATACTTGGGATAGGCCAGATAAAGTAGGATCCGAAGCAACTTTTCCCAATGGAACCAAATACATGAGAGGTCCAGGAGTTGGAACAAGTGCATTTTTAACTCATGAGAGACTTAGGAGCCACAACTTTATCAAAGAAGATGGTGTTTATATTCTTTTAACAATGGAAGGTATGTAAACATAGCTGATAATCTTGACAATTCAGCAAACAGTGTCAGATACCAAGTCACTAGTGCTGTCGTTATAAACACACAATGTACTTTGCATTTGAGCACTGTTTGAATTATGCCTGTGTCTAAAGTCAAATCGTACATTTGAATAAATTTGTGAACAGGTACATACACATACACAGTATAATTCCTTTATCTCATGTGAAGGTGTATAAAACAATGCTAATCCTGTGCAAATTAATTTGAATATATTAATTTGAATAAAACTATCTGTTTCTGAAAAAATTCTAGAGGACATTTCCAAAATACATCATGCTCCTAAAATGCAAAAAAGACTGTTTATCTGTTAAACCTTTGGACAGGCTTACTGCTCTTTATTATTAGAAATTATCATTGGAATAAGAAGGAAAATAATGCGGAGCAAAGACCTTATTGCCTGTGTGTTCACCGTGCAGATATATCGCACCTCCTGTCAACTCAGCCAAGCACTCCACCCCCTCTTGTTACGACTGCAAGTGCCACCACCACCAAACCCCCCAGTGGCACTGAGACCACCACCACCACCACCACCACCACCACCACAGGCAGCACCAACCAGCCCGGAGATCCAGAGGTTCCATCTTTCTGCCCAGACAACCCCTGTGAGAACGATGGTGTCTGTGTCATGGTGAACAGAATGCCCGTGTGCAGGTAACTGCCTTTGTTCACCCTCAAATGCTGCTTTAGGATGAGTAATGAGAGTTCCTAACAAAATAAATCTTTGCTCCTAGTGAAAGGAAAGACAGACTGTAGCTGATTAAGGCAAGTATTTGCAACTGCTCCTGTGAGACTGAACTTATGGCCGATTTGGGCAACAAAGCTCCTAACCTCAGCATTTGATCATTTTGAAGTACTCTGCTTGACTTTCCTGTAAATTATATTTTAAATGTGTTTATTATTTTCAGTGATGTATTACTCCAAGTCTTCAGAATTCCCTATAGCAAAATGTAGAAGAGTTGAATAAATGTAATTGAAAGAAAAGAGCATTTATATAATTAGAGTAGATTTGCAATACTTATCATGTAGGAAGCAGCATAGACATTATTTTAAAATTTGATTCAGAAATATTGTACAGTGCAAATTATGACCATGAGTTACCAAAGTGTAGTCCCTTGCCTTTGAAACCAGCAGTGAAAGCTGAGGAATAAAAGATTGTTTGCCCTGCAAGAAGATTAATATCAACTTTTATTTAATTCTTTGTGGATACATTTATGTAACCTACCTGCCTGATTAGCATTGTTCCAGCTCTCAAATAAGCTCTGAGGCTGAAGACAGTAACCATAGATGCTGTTCCAGGGCAGGTAGACTGGGGGAATGCTGTGAGGAAAACATAAAGGCCAAAAGCCACAGGAGTCAGGATGACTCATTAAGAGTTGTATACCTCCATTTAGAAACCTTGAAAAAAATAATTCTTGTGCAACTCATTAGAAGCAGGTCACAAATAGGAGTAAATGTCAAGAAGTAGTTCCAAGAAGACAAAAATAAAAAATATGCTCAATGTTATGCTTCATTTCAAAATTATGGAAAGAGAACATTTATTTTCTGACATCTCTGGACTCTTTGAAGCTTTAGTGCCTTTGCAACCTACTTTCTGTCCTACAGAAATGTGTGACCAGCAGTCAGTTTCCACCCCAATTTTCTGTTGGGAAATGGGTGGGAATGTGATACATCTGTTCAAGCTGAATCACCTGTAATTCCCCCAGCAGGCAATATCTTTGCAGTGCACTGCAAACAGACTTGTTTTCAGGGCTGAGGTAGTCCTGAATAAATGACTTAGACAGGAGCTAGGAAATCAATACATAAGGAATAACCAAGGTTAGAAAGATGGAGGTGGGTGTGCTGACTGTGGTGCTGGGTGAGGTGATGGAATCAAAGCCTGGAGGTTGTTTTCAGTCCTAAAACTGGATGGCTGCTGGGCTGTGAATTTTTCTTATCTGCCTCTTGGATGAAGGCAGAGGCAGCTCTTAAAAGTTCTTTAAATTTGAAAATTAAAAAAAATAAAAGCTCCATAGATCAGCTGCATCTAGGCCTTAAGAGGTCAAGAGGATCAGGAAGGCATTTAGGATTTCTGGCAAAAGCTCTCTCTGAAGGCACAACCTGTGAAACATTAGGAGCTGAAAGAAACACCTTTAGGTGTGTAAGGACAGTGGGCCACTAAGAGAACTTTAAAATAGAAGTCCATTTTAAGATGACTTCATTATGCTTTAGGATATAGAAATTACATCAGAGATGCCTTTTTTTGAAGTAGATCTTTTCACACCTTTAATATTTAGGTGATAGTAAATGTTAGTTCTTTTGCTTTCTAGATGTCCAGCAGGTGACAGCTGGTGGTACATGGGAGAAAAGTGTGAAAGGAAAGGCTCAACTCAAGAAAATATTGTAATAGCTGTTTCTTCAACCATAACTGTGTTTGTTGTAATGCTTATTGTCACCATCACAACTGCAGTATGCCTTAAAAAGAAATACAAACAAGGAAAGGAGAATAAGGAGAGTGTGACTCTGGAAGAAGTAAGTATCTTGCCTCTTTCAACAAATATAGACACATGCACACATATCCATATTCACTAAAAAGCAAACAATCAAATTAAGTAAGAAGTAAATGGAAGGTGTCACCTTTTTGAAGCCTAAAGACTGCAGGTTAAGAATTAAAGAGCTCCTTTATGTGACACTAATTTATCAAACACCAAAATCCTACTTAATTAAAAATCTGTTCTCCTCTTCCACCCCCCTCCACTCTGCCCCAATGACAGCCTACATTGAGTGGGATAGTGTGAACATAGGGGTTCACTTTCAATTTATAATTAAACCATGTTTTCTGCTCAGTAAACTCGTATTTCATCTATGCTGCCTATTCTACTAAATCCCCCCCTGGATATGGTGCTAAAAAATGCATCCCAGGGTGTCAAAACAAAAAGCAAATCTAAAAAATTATTTTCCACATTCAAAGGCCATTTTTTATGCAAGGCATGAAGTTGTGGAAATATTAAGTTAAGGAAAGGTTAAGAAGACAGCAGGTTAAAACTATCTAGATGACAGGATCAGAAATGCCATGTACTGGACAGAAGCAGCATTTGGGCCTGTTTTCACAGGACATTTCATGCAGTCTTAGATACATGGACTCTTACTTTAAGTAGAGGCTTGTCCTGGAAATAGCAAGCATGACATAGTTTAGAGAGACTCACAGGGCACAGGAGAAATTTTGTAAACAAACTGAAGAGGAATATCCTTCCAGAAAGCAGAGTTCCATTTTTAATTTTGTCCTAATACTCTTTGTGTGATACCCCATTGAGTTGAAGTACCTCTGTGCAGTGTCAGATACTTGACACTGCTACTTTATGACCATCCAATAAATAGTTTTGGTTTCTTTGCAAGTAATGCTCTTACATTATACACATACTTCCCTTCCCTATGCACTTTTAAGATGTGGGTTTGGTTTTTTTCCCTCACTTAGACTAAAACATCCTTCTGAAGATAATGCAAACAAGCATCAAAGACACAAGATGAACATCACTGCAAAACCACAACTACGTCATCACTCTTTCTGTTCCTTTTATCTCAACCATCATGATAAAAGTTTGTAAAGTCTGGAAAATAATTCATCATCTGGATAAAACACTGTGCTAAAGTCAGTGGAGTGTCTGACACTGCTGTGTATCATCATTCAATAGAGAAAAATGGCAATACATTGTGTGACATGGCTGCCTCGTCCTTCAAGTCTACCTAAACATGAAGAAAGCATGAAAACGGCATCCTGAATTGCAGTCAAGACAGGAAAGAATAAATTTGCTGAATATAAAATAAATATTATCATTGTACAGCTGTCTAAAATAAAGAGGAGCTGGACCCTGTGTTGGCAGGGTACCCAGCAGTTCTCAGTCCTGTTGCAGCTGTCAGTCAGTAGTGTGAGAGTTTGTGAAGTGTGGGAGTGTCTGGTTCATTTGTTATTTGGTTGTGATCTACTCACTGTAAAAGAAATAAGAAGTAATGAGGAAAGCAATAAATGAATCTCACAGACACACATTAATGAGGAAGTCACAGTGGAGATAATAATGAGGATCCAGAATGCTTCAGCCACTGATTGATGGTCCATTAGAAGAACTACTCAGGCAGAACCCTCAAGAATGTCAACCTGAACAATTATTAACTGATAGGAAGGGGGGAAATATGATAAACCTGAGTGTTGTGGAAAAGTTGAGGCTGCTTGAGATACAGGCTATCAGAAAAGGCTTGTAGTTTTTGTAAAAATGACTATGGGGTGTTTAGGGGAAGAATCAAAAGATCCAAAGAAAAGTGGGGAAAAATGGGGCCAGAAACTGGAGAGACCTGCCTGCAAAAGAGAGCTGGATGCCAATGGCCAGAGGAGACCACAGGTCTTAGGGCTCATGGATCTAAGTACTAGCACATGGAGGGGCTTGCATGGAAGGGTCTGTGTGCCAGGAACTGGAGGAACTGTGGGTCACAGGGCTTGTAGATCCAAAGACCAACAACTGGAGGGACTGGTATGTGTGTTTTGTATGTGTCTTGAAAGGTCCTGGTGCCAGCAGCAGCTGGAGGGATCAGGTTGTGTGCTGGTGTGTAAGAGGTGTAAGTGCTGGCAGCTGGAGAAGTCTGTGTGTTAATATTTCTTCAGTGAATTTAATTCTCTGTGTGTGTGCATAATTCACTAGCAAACTTCAAGCTGGATGAGCTGGTGAATTGGAGGAAACATTTCCACATCTGGAGGACTCAAACATCACAGTGCCCTACCTGGCATGCAGAAGGTGACTTGTATACCACTGCCAGAGCTCCCAAGCATGGATATTTAACAGGTTTAGAGGCCATGCTCACATTTAAGGGGACTGTACATGTTTGAGTGTGTTTCTGGATGTGGAGAATGAGGGCACACATTTTTTCAACCAGAGAACCAGCATTCTGATTTCCTGGAGGGGAGGAGGAGGACAGGGCAGTGTGCCCTTCTCTGACTTTGGGTAGCATTACAGAGGGGCTGTGCAGCCCATGCAGCTCTGTGTGTGTTTGTGCAGCAGCCTGAACCACCAGCTATTTCAGGGACCCCTGTGTGTGTCTGTGTCAGTGTGTCTTGGACACAACCTTGCTGCCAGCCAGACCTGGGAGGAGCAGCCAGATCCTTAGGACTGGGATGCAGAGATCACCTGGGACCAGTCCTGGCTGGGCACGTTGGCTGGGGAGCTGGATCCTGGAGTTGGGAGACTTGGTGGCTTCCTTAACACCCCTGGCAAACAGAGCTATGATTCAGTAGGATTTAGAGAAATAAGTGAGCATGGAAATAAAAGGGCCAGAGGAAGCAAAACGTCCCTCCCTAAGGACCCTTCAAGGAGGGAGATGGCAGCCACCATGGGCACAAATCATCACATTTGTGGTGTTTTGCAGGGGGGCTGTGAGAGACAGGAGTGCCTGTAATGGAAATGTCAGGTCACACCAGATGGTCGGCAGACTGGTATGTGAATGTGTTCACATTTAAAGGTCAGCAGCTACTTTGATTGCCTGGGATGGGTGTTGATGATTTTAACATTTGTCATGCAATTTACCCTAACTCTGGGCAAGAGCAGTTCAAATGTATGGAAATTTGATGAGGGAGCAAGTCTTCCTCTGAATGCTACTGCACAGCACAAAGCAACAAATGTGTATTCTTCTGTATCAATGCTATATATGTAGTCCTTCACTGATTCATATTCTCTGAAATGTAGTTGTATTTAAAGCATTCATAGCTGGATTTATTAGCTTTTGTTGGAATCCAAAGATTCATGAAAACAGCCAGACAAAATTAACAAAGATTTGTCACAGCTAACAAACATCCTGGATAGGAAAATACCCCACTATAGCTGTCTTAAAATAACTTTCCTATTTCCACACGTCTTCATCAGCAGTTTTCATGCAAATAATCCTCCAAATGCGCCTTCAATTAAGATATGCACATAGATTTACATGGAGTTAAGAAGACACAAATGAGACTGTTCATAAATTCAACCCTGGCTACAATCCTTAACATTATAAACTGCAAGCATTTGATAATTTCAAATGTGAGGTACCAGATTTCTAACAGTAGAGATCATTTATATTTTTAAAATCCTGATTATGTGAGATAAGGTAAGTACCTGTACTTCCATCAGAAGAGAGCTTAATATGCAGAGCAGTATTACAATATAATTTCAATACATTGCAGAAGATACAAATTCCATAGGATATATCCTGAAATGCTAAACATTCATGGGAAAAAATCTTAAGCTTCTGCTTATTCATTTCTAACAGGAATCAGTGAAGAGCATGATTTAAAACTGAATCTCCCAGTCCCAGTGTGAACAACTCACTTCTGTAGAGCCAAAAGACAGGCTTTTTAATGTCCTTCACTGACCTGAAAATACTCAAGAGGAGTATTTCTTTCCAATTTTACAATGCAGAAAAATTACTCAGGAAATGCAGAATGAGATTCAATATTACACTTTATTGTTTATCACAGAAGTTATGCTACTAGCTCAAGCTCCTGAACAAGTACATTTTTCTTCAAAAGCCCTAGCACAAATGACTTAATGATCTTAATTTTGGAGAGGTACATTTTACATATTTACAGATAATATGGGTACTTATCCCAGGTCAGATACTGTGTTGGCTGCTCAGAGAGCTATACATGGGCTTGCAGCCCATGCTGCTTTATTTTTTATTTGTTTACTTTATTCTCCTAGAGCAAATTTATTCACAGAAATTTTTACTAAAAATCTTCACTGTAGAGGTCTCTCTGTAAAAGCACTGAGATGTCAATGTGACAGTAAACAGCACCAGTGTTAAATCTGCACCAATCCATTTATCTCTCCTGTCCTCACGCTGTAGTGATCCAGGTTGATTTGTAACAAGGATTTACTCTGCCCACATGCCTGCTCAGGCACATTCCACTCTCTACACACCAGGACTAGTGTGAAAACCCAATTACTGTGTTCCCACAATATACAGTACAAAGGTTTGGGCTGTGGACTGACTCCTTGGGTTGCCTGCCCTGTTCCTCATTCAAGAGCATCTCTAGCAAAGACCCAGATCTAAGTGAATGTTTTCTTCTCTGCTCCTCCTTTTCTGGGCTCCAGATTTACTGTACAGCTGGACCCAGCAGAGTATGTGCACATTGCATCCAGAACTGTAGGCATGACTCATTCCCCACTGCTGAGCCTATCAGGAGTCAAGCATGGGTTGAAAAATAAACTAACTCCAACATTCAAGTCAATGGCTCAGGTGTAGAATAATAAAGAAAGAAAAAACCAAATTGTGGGTCATTGTTCTAGCTACTTCTTGGTCTTTCTTCAAGAATCTCAGCAGCACTTTTAATCCTGCTACCTACTATCTATGCTAAACAGCAAATGAAGCCTCCTGTTCCTGATTCAGGCAAACCAGCTCACTGCTATTTGCATCACACAGAGTAGCTCTGCTCAGTTTAGCTTTTGCACAAGTAGCAAATTACTGAGTCATAATGTCTCAGTCTGGCTGGCACAGCATTGTCTAAATGCAAAAAAGGGACTGATCCTAGACACCAGCCCGTGGGATTCACATTTCCTACATCCTCCTGTTTCAGCTGAGTGTCAGGTGTCTCGTGCCACCCACGCCAGGCAGACACGGTCCCAGGGTGCAGGGCAGGAGTCATGTCACTTGTCATTTTCTTAAGGTCCAATTCAGAACAGAGAAGTTGCTCTTTTCCTTTTTATTTTCCCCACAGGTCTCTTTATCCACTGCTATTAGAGCTCAGGGTCTTTTCCTAAGACACAGATGCCATCAGCTGAACTACCTTTGACTCTGATAAATATGATTTTAATTCTCCTCTCTTCTTGGAGTGCATTTTCAAGCTATCTTTGGGGCTGGTAGTACAGACAGTTACGTCTCAAAAGGAGAAGATAACCAACAATTAAACTGCTTTTTCTGAAACAGTTAGTGCTTTTCTAAAGTTATTGCCTAGAGACTTTTGTAATATTGATGCAGTAATGACAAAACACCCGTATTTTGCTCTGTGTTATGAAATAAGGAAGAAATACATGGTGATGTCATTTCCCCACTTCTTTCAATTACATATATTCTGATTTATTGCAAAAGAAAACTCTAAAGTTGAGATTTAAGGATTTGTTTCATGTAAGAAGATAATGAAATTTTGCAGCAGACAGATGCCCTGTGATTGCTCTCCTTGTCTTCTCCATCTTCTAAGCATCAACAGAAATAACTAGGAAAAAACAATGACCACAACAACTCAGAGTGATTACTACTTACACCAAATACACTCCAACTGGAATCATAAAGGCTGCAGACAAGTTTACATTGGAGTTCTTTTGCTCATAAATTCTTAAACTTCTACTGGAGATGAAAAGTTCCATGCTTGATCTATGCCTTTGACTTCACCTACTGTGAAAACAAAATAGCATCAAAGCAGTTTAACTGGAATGTCAAGAACAAAACCAAACCTCATTGTTTCCCAAGGTTGCAATGCTTAATCCTGCAATACATAAACATGGTCACTCTTCCAATGCAATACTCAT